AAAAAAAAAAAAAAAAAAAAGAATACAATCCAGAAGTCATTGCCTCAGAGGAATACCAGCTCAGCTACTTGCTAGCTTGTGTAGGCTGGTTACTTCAACTCCCTGAATCTGCTTTCTTATCTCGAAAAGACAATAATAGCATCTTTCTCAGAGTAGTTGGTGGAACTAAAAGAATACATGTAAAGTGCTTAGTACAACACCTGCCACATAGAGCTGAATTACTGTGAATTATGATAAATTTGTCAGATACTGGTTTACGAACCTGATGTTGGAATAATATGGAATCAGTGTTTCAGTTATTTTACTATATATATGCAATACTTTCTATATTTGATCTCATTTCAGAAACAAAATACTGATTCCCCCATTTTACAAATGCATAGTTTTTTCTCAGCAATAATATTTAAGAACCAAGTGCTTGGCACATATTTTGTTGTCTTATACATGGCTTTCTTTAAATAATGGGGATGGATTTATTCAATAACCTCATGAGTAATTTTTGAAATTTCCATTAAGATCTTGATTGAAATTGGATGAAAAATCATTTCTAAGAAAAACTCAATGAAGTGTCTTTCTTTGCCACATTTGACAATTGTGTTGGACTTGGTAAAGTAATCATTACCAGGGCCAGTATCTCCAGTGCCCTCCTTGATGCTGCGTTAGAAAAAGTAGCTGCTTCTGAATGACAGAAAGGCAAGAATTTGTTTGCCTTTTAGGTTCGGCCTGTGGGTGCCCACTGCAGGAAATCAGGAACTATTTGGAAGCAGTTAAGGTGGGGTTCTCCCTTGTCTCTGCAGCCTCAGCAAAGACTCAGGCAGTCTGGCAAAAGCAGTTTCTTCAGCATACCTAACAGAAGGCAAGTTTCCATATGCCTGATGCAAATAACGCTCACCCTTTAAACATTAAACCTTTTTTGAGATAAACTTGGTCTTTAATTGCTAGTGCCTGCAGTTAATTTTGATTTTTTTATTGGCTACATTCTGGTTAAAAGAAAATGCTCCAGGATGTGATATGGAAAATTTGGAGAAAAGAAACTCTTTTGCTCCCAATCACTCTTCCACAACTTAAATTGAATCGGTCCTGTCCTTTTCTGCTGCCCTCGTGGAGTGTAAGTTTTTGGAGGAGACCAGCAGAAATTGGCTTTCCATATGCCCCTGAAGAATTAACTTCTTTGAACGCAAATTGGTGAGGACATGGAGGATCTGTCATTAAGGGTTATTATGGGTGGGACCCAGAGACGAGAGTGAAGGGAGGGTGTGGTCCGCGGGTGGGATCTGTAGAGCAGATAAAATATGGGGCCCCTGGCCCTTGAAGTTCAGTGTGTGTGTCTCTCTCTCTCCCCTGAGCTTGGAGAAAGGCATCCGTAGCGCCTCCCTGGGGGACACGTAGAGGAGAGAAAAGCGACCAGGATAAGAGTGGACAGAGGAATAAGCAAGACTTGTTCTCCATGAAACAGTCCCCTGCTCCGGAAGAGCGCTACCGCACAGCCGGGTCCCCAAAGCCGGTAAGATCCAAGATTCTCTGCCCTACCGCAGCCAGGTCTGATGTCCTCTTCTTAGTCCTGGTGAATTCAGGGTCAGCCCCTCCCGCCCCCGTCCTCTCCTCCGCCCGATGCCACCTCCTTCCCCTGCAGTCGGTGAGCTCCGGCTCTGACAGTCGCGCGCTCAGCACCCTGCACCCAGTCCCTGGTCCCGACCTCCACCCGGTCGCCCGGCGTCCGAGACCCTCCCAGGGTCATGGGCAGGGTTTCCTTCAGCGTTCGAGTTGGCTTGATCCAGAGACCCCAGTCCCCACGCCGTGGGCGATGCCACCTTTCCTGCAGAGACCCTCCTCTGCATGGTGCCCTCCACGCCTCTAGTAGACTTGGCTGCGCACTGGCGGCAGCGGAGGCTGCAGATGGAGCTGTCGGAGCCGACCCCTCCACAATCCACTGCTTCCTCTCCGCGCCGGTGTCCCGGGCGCCCGGTGGCTGGAAAGACTGCGCGGCAGCCTTGTCTGGCCCAGACGTAAGCCCCCTTCCCCAGCTGCGCGCGCCTGGGTCTCGGTCCCTCCACAGTCCCGGCTCGCGCTCGGTACCCCGGCCCCCAGTTGGTGCCTGGGGATCACTCGCCCTTCCTAAGTGCTGGCACCCCAGAACTGGCCCTCTTGCAGAGTGCTGGGAACTCGTAGGTCCCTGCGCACAAACTTTCGCCGGCGTGTGGCTGCCTAGGCAGAGGTGCGCTGGCCGCCGGGGGGCGCAGGCTCTGCGCTGTAGGATTTGGCTGGCTCCGATTCAGTGTCTGAAAGGGACAGCGTTGCCTCTTGTTCAGGAGAGGAAAGAAAGGGAAGAGTACCACGGACAGTCCCCACTGGCCTGAGCCCCCAGGAAGCGGGTCTAATTTGCGGATGCCCCTCTCCGTCGGTGTCATGAGGGCCCCGGAATCCGCTTGCTACCGCGAGGGTCCCAGCTTCTCCGAAACGGGGACCGGCCGGTGACGCTTGCTGCAGGCAGAGGGCGGGCTGTGAGGGCGGAAGGGAGGTGGTGTCTTGTCGGATCTTACAGGTACTCAGTTCCCCGGCTCCCGTGGCGGGCGCCCGACGCCTGGTGCTACCTGGTCGGTCGGGGCCAGTGGATAGCGGTGTAGGCGCTTTTTGCGCGGCTTTCAGTTCCTGGGACCCAGCCCTGGGCGCTCTATGAACTCAGCAGGGAAGCTGCAGGACTGGGCATTCCCAGGGAACGTGTTTCAGTAATTCATAAAGTGGAGCTTTCCTCCAGCGGGAAACTTCTGAGAACAATGCACTGCCAAGACGGACTCCTGTACAAAACTTCGACTACTGACATATGCACAATTGTGGCTTCTAGTTTTTATTTTATTTTTTTTATTCAAAGTAACTTATTGATGGAAGCAAAACTCTGCAAAGGAACGTCAGACCGCTACCAGAAAGGGGGTGAAGTCATAACTTTCTGGTGATTATTGTCCAAGGACACATTTAAGCAGATAGTTTTGAAATTAAAGATACCACAAAACATTAATTTTGGCATAACCCTGAGGCAATGAGAAGAAACAGTGCATTTATAAAAAGTTGTTAAACCTTTTTTTTTTTTTTTTTTGGTCACAGTCAAAACATTCACTAGCTTGTTTCTGTTATCAGGTGCCCAATAATTTTGTTGTGTGAGACTGTGCTAAAAATTGGTCCTCAGGTCCTGGGGCTTGAGAGGCTAGAAGAGGTTCCTGGGGCTTGAGAGGTTAGAGGAGGCGTCTGCATAGACTCACATCTGCGCTTGGCTGACCAGTCAGTTTTCCAAAGCATACCAGAATGCTTTCCAGGACACCAAGAATTTCAATAGGATGAACTATTTTTAGGGTTATCTGGGTGTGGAATCACATCAACCTCAAAACCTCAAGATTATATAAGCCCTTTTTTAAGGGGAGGGGACTCTTTCCAGAAAGTTCCTTTCAGGGTAGGCTTACAGGACCAATGATGAATGCCTCTGTTAACCTTTCAGTGGGTTAAAGCAACAAACTGAGAATTGCTCTATTAACCTCATCAAGCACATACATATTCAGGTTTAGGGACACTATTTTTTAAAAGATGCAAAACTCATTCCTTTAGAAACCTTCATAATACTGCGGAAATCGCAACAGCAACACATAGAAGGCAGGCATCAGTGCTTCCGCATCTTACATTCCACCACCAGTTGTGGTTTCCTTTTGGGAGAGTCACATTTTCCACCATAGCTTCATGTGGATTTCAGCATTTGCTAGCTCTGTTGCCTGGCCAGCGCCTCAGTTGACCCCCTCACCACTGTTGGGGGCAGACAGGTAGTTAGAGGAGAAGCTGAATGGCCCAGGAACTCCAGAGAGTTAGCATAGTCACTTTCCAAAGCCTGTACTTTCAAATCTCCATGCTGTTAATGAGGTACTCCTTTCCTTATTTTTTCCTCTTTTCTGCTCTTCTAGCTTCTTTCAACACAAAGACTTGCGGTCTTAGGGTTTCTGAGTGTCTACACTGCTGGGGTAACAGGAGTTCTCTGAGGACTAGGAGAGCTGTAACAGAGAAATGTTCCTGAGTGTATCTGAGGGGGAAGGTTTGTTTGACCTGCTACTTCTACCTAATAAGTTATTCAACAAGTATGCATTCATGCATCCTGTTAGTCCTATAACTATTCTTGACATTCCACTTTGCTGGACCAAATGGAAAATGAGGCTGGCTGGCTAAAGAGTACTGACCCGATTCTGGCTAGATAAACATACAAGGTTCACACTGAATACTCAAGGGATTCCCAGACTTACCTGTTCCTCAGAGTCTACACATTCACACAAACACATACACACACAGACACTTTTTTGTTTTAGGTTTGTTCAGAGAGGGTGGAAATGGTAGGTACCTTAATAGTAAAAGGTGCTGTAGATGGCCTGCCTTGGTGGGAAGAGTAAGAGCTTTGGTGTCAGACCTCTGACTCTGCCCCTTAAAAACGTCAAGGCTCTGGGCAAGTCAAATTATCTTCTTGCTGGGCTCAGTTTCCTTGGTCAGAAAATGGAGATGACATTACTGACCCTGGTAAGGACACTGTGGATTATGGAATCTGTACTAGAAGTACTTTATGTAATAGTGTTATATTCCAATGAAGTTTCCCTAACCTTTTTTTTTTTTTAAACTACTTTATTGAAGTTTTGGCAAACAAAAACCTGTACATATTTAATGTAAATAATAAGTTTGGAAATAAGTATGCATCTATACAACCATCACCACAATTAATGTCATAAACCTATCCATCATCTTCAAGAGTTCCCTTCTGCCATCTTTATTATTATTATTATTATTTTATTATATGGACATTTAACATAAGATCTACCCTTTTAGCAAATTTTTAAGTATAGAATATACTATTGTTAACTACAGAAGCCATGCTGTGTAGTAGGCAAACCACTATTCTACTCTCTGCTTCTATGAGTTTGACTATTTTAAGATTCCTCTTTTAAGTGGGATCATGTAGTATTTGTCCTTCTGTGTCTGGCTTATTTCATTTAGCATAGCGTCCTCTAGGTTCATCTCTGTTGTTAGAAATGGTAGGATTTCTTTCTTTGTTAAGGCTGAGTAATATTCCATTGTATATATATACATACAATGTATATATACCCCATTTTTCTTTATCCATTCATCCATCAATGAGCATTAGGCTGCTTCCATGTTTTACAATTGAGGCAAAATATACAATTGAGGAAAGATATACCTGAGTGAATAATGCTGCAATGCCCATGGGAATGAAGATGTCTTTTCAGGATCCCAATTTCAAATCTCTTAGTTACATAGCTAGAAATGGGATCATATGGTAGTTCTATACTGTATGTTGGTACCATATGCTGGATCATATGATAGTTCTATTTTTAATTTTTTTGAGGAACTTCCATACTGTTTCCCACAATGATTGCCCCAATTTACATTCTCATGAACCATATACAAGGGATTCATTTTCTTGGCATCCAACACTTGTTATCTTTTGTTTTTTGATAATAGCCATCCTAACATCTTAATGGTGGCAAAGACGTGAAATCTCTTTGTGGTTTTCATTTGTAGTTCTCTGATGATTAGTAATGTTAAGCATCTTTTCATATACTTACTGGCCATTTGTATGTCTTCTTTGGAAACATGTCTATTCAAGTATTTTGCCCATTTTAAAATCAGGTTATTAGCTTTTCAGCTACTGAATTGAAGGATTTCCTTATATATGTTGGATATTAATCCTTTATCAGATATAAGATTTGCAAATGTTTTCTCCTGCTTTATAATTGCTTTTTCATCTTGCTGATCAAATCCTTTGCTATGCAGAAGATTTTTAGTTTAGTGTAATCCTAGTTAGTTATTATTGCTTTTTCTTTTTTGCCTGAACTTTTGGTGTCATATTCAAGAAATTATTGCCAAGGACAATGTCAAGATTTTCCCTTATGTTTTCTTTTAGGAATTTTATGGTTTCAGGTCTTATGCTTGTCTTTAATCCATTTTGACTTGATTTTTGTGCATGGTATGAGATAAAGGTCCAATTTTATTCTCTTCCACATGGATAACCAGTTTTCCCAGTACCATTTGTTGAAGACATATCTTTCCCCAATTGTATATTCCTGGCACCCTTTCAACCATGTTTGTATGGGTTTATTTCTGGCCTCTCTCTTCTGTTTCATTGGCCATATGGCTGTTTTCATACCAGGACCATACTCTTTTGATTTGTGTAGCTTTGTAATCCATTTTGAAATCAGGAGGTATGATACCTCTAATTTGTTTTGTTTTTCCTTGTTCACAATTGCTTTGGTGATTTATTTTCTAACCTGTTTTTAACTTGAGGAACCAGTCTCATCTCAGACTCATGAGGGGTATCTCAAGAATTTTTCCACTGGCAGCCTTCTGTGACTCCAGAGCCATGCTATGCAGTGGAGTAGCTGCGAACCAGTTGTGGTTGTTTAAATTTAATCAACATTAAATCAAATTAAAAATGTATTTCTTCAGTCTCCTTGGGCATATTTTAAG